TAATAATATCTGGGCTTAATGGATGTTTAATAATTATATCAATTTGTACATAAGTATATTAGATTGATATACTAATAATGGAGGGAAACATGGAATTGAAAACTATTAGAGAATGTTATCAATGCTAAAATGATTGAATGACTTAGTATAGGAGGAAGCATAATAACAATGTATACAAAGATAGCTTGATTGTCAATATGTACATTTTGATAAAATTCAATTGAGAACCACAGAAAGGACACAGAAAGACTTTGTAACCAATCGACACACTGCGTGTAATTGAAGAGGCTTTTATGTTATATGTGTTGTGTGTTTATGCTTGTCTGAAAATAAAAATTTTATTTAAAAAAAGTTTATTAGAACACGAATCAGAGGTTTTCACCTTAATATATATGAAAGAATACTGGTTCTAAATTGAAAATAATTTAGTTCCTGGAGTTCCTATAATTCTATCAATTGCTAAAGGGAACTTGTATTGCAAAAGAATAACTTTGGGTCTAGGCCAAAGAATCAGACAGACAGATAGAGGGAGACAGGGACAGAGATAAAGTAACAGAGACAAAGGCAGAGAGGGAGGCGCGCACGGACACACACACACACACACACACACACACACACAGAGAGAGACAGAGACAGAGACAGAGACAGAGACAGAGACAGACAGATACACACATAGAGGATATTTTTTCTTGCGTGCATATGTTATTTTAGATCAGGAGTGTCAAATTCAAGTGGCCATCCTGGAAACTGTAAGAGGCCAGCCCGCGTCACTTTGGCCTGGTCTACCCAAAGCGAAGGAGAAAACATTGGGCCAGTGTGGATTCTGCCTGGTTTACCCAATGCAAAAAGGAAACATGCCAGCAGTTTGGGGAATAGTGTCAAGCTGACCATACCCACCCAGCTGACCATGCCCATTCAGTCAACCACGCCCAGTGAGTGGCATCAAGCTGGTCATGCCCACCCAGTCAGCCAAGCCCCCCCTCCAAGCCCCTCCAAGGTCAACTACAGCCCTGATGTAGCTCTTATTGAAATTGAATTTGACACCCCTGTTTTAGATTGTAAGTTTTGGTATCTCTATATATCTCTAGAAGTACACATTTTGCAACTAACACCCACTAAGATGCAAAACAAAAACAGATATTCAGCCAACTTTATCTTGTGGATTTCCTTTTCTACTTGTTCTATGTTCTACCTGTTCTGTGTTAAATACCGCATCCTTTTCCCCTGCCCTGAAAAATGTGTAACAAATGCTTTAAAAAAGTGAAAAAATACAACAGAAAAAAATATTTAATATGTTGATACAAGAGTAAACAGGTAGTTCTCTGCATAATTATCTAATACAAATAGTATTCATGTATTTATAATATGCTTATATTATCTCTGGCCTTAGAAGTTAAGACACTCTGCCATGGTCTAGGCAACATAGAAACCTGTAGTATTTATTCTACTCATCTCTTAACATCTGCATATCAAAAGGACTTATTGATATCATATGTCTATAGAGATAAATAGATAGATAGATAGATAGATAGATAGATAGATAAATAGATAAATAGATAAATAGAAATATATCTATAGAGAGAGATATATTTATGTATGTATGTGTGTGTATGTATGTATGTATGTATGTATGAATGTGTATATATGTGTGTGTGTGTGTGTGTGTGTGTGTGTGTGTGTATCCAAAATCAATATTACCATTTTCCCCATTTTTAATGTTGGTGGTCACCATAAAGTCATTTTAAAAAAGAGAAAAAAATCTAAAAAAAATATTATTCATTACATTCCATAGTTGTGTATTTGACATAATTGTTTCCAGAGTTCTATTATAGTTAGAGCCTTATATTGTCCATCCAACCATGTATATTTCAAAGTGCGCAAATGGAAAACTGAATCTTCCCACATTAATCAATGATTGCATTTTCTGTAAAAATATTCTTAGAAGCAAAGACCGTCATAAAAAATGTGTGTGTAAATCCACACACATACACCAAAGCATCATGGCTGCATGGCAAATATTGTTAACCAGATTTTGATACTGTTTGTGTTTGCAATTTAAGGCAAGAAGTAACATTTTTCATCCTTTTGCTGTAAAAGATTCTGACTGGCAGCAGGGTTACTAACAAAGATGGCAGGTTTGCTCAACAATGCCGAGATGTATTGGCACATGGGCATACAACCACATATAATAATTACCCAATTAGAGCTGGCAAGCTTATGAAATAAGAAAAAAAAACATCATTTGTTCAATCCTAACAGATAGATTGGAGCTGCTTTTAAGCTATTTGTTATGTACCTTTAACACATTTCATGATAAATAGGTCTTTATTTGTAACACCTGCCACATTCTGGACTATGGATTCATGTTTTTCTTTTTGCTTGTTGCATCCTTAGCGTCATTTTTCAGCCTACTCATAATTGAGACCACAAATTAATAGTTCTTGTCATTTGTGATAATGCTGCAGGGTGAAAAATGTCCTGCTGTAAGTGCAGATGGAAAAAATCAGATGCCTAGCAAATATGAAAATAAGCACCTTAATCTAATACCACTGTAAGAGCCACCTGTTAAATTGAGAAACAAATGCAGGTCTTTATGCAAAGTTTTAGCAGATAGTAGATATACACCATGGCTATTACTTACAGCTGGAGAATATCAGCGGGCATGAATGTTTATCCATGGGAAAATTATGTAGCTGCAGCTGGCATTCGGCATTGATGGTGAGCCTAGAGAAAACCAGGTACCTATTACTGTCTTGGTATGACAGCAGACTATAAAAAAAATTAGTAATTCGGTCATTTCAAAGGCTTAATTGCAATATTATGAAAAAGTGCTTTTTTAGGATTCTCTTTGATGCAACTACTAGGCAGAAGCCATCATGGAAAAAGGCAATGACAATCACTTTCATATTATTGCTAAGAAAACTACACAGTCATATGGGAATTAGAGCTGGGGGGGGGATAAACTATCTTTTTATAACTATTATGCAGATGGCATGAATTATGATATTTATAGAGTGATGTCTTCCTGCATGTGATATCATTGTGGCTTGCAACAGATACCTATACATGGATAGGTCCAAGCAATGATCTGGCTGATTTTGTTTGGGTTTGAAAACTGACTGGACTCAGGCTGTTCATTAGTGTTGTCCAGTGTTTTGGATACAAAGAGAAAGGGGATCATACATTTAGCATCTAGCTGCATGTCTTATATCTATTGTGACTTCCCCCAGGATTGAGCTACAGATGTCAAAAGGAGCTGCTCTCAATCCCGGAGAAGATGCAGCCTTTTCATTAACTTCTATATAGGGCTGATTAAATGTCACAGCATGGATCAGAGCACTTATTTTACTTTGAATCTAGAGCCCTAGATTTTAATATTTTAATGGATGACTGCCAGAATCATACAGCTAAATTTGACACTATCTTTACCTATATTTCTGGGGGAAATACATTAATGTGCGTTTATAGTTGTAATTATAGTACAAGTAATACTTGACTTACAGTCTTTAAATTTTAGTGGTTTAGTGACTGAATTTACCACAGCATTGAAAAAGTGACTTATGATCATTTTTTACAGTTGCAACTGTAGCAGCATCCCCATGGTCATGTGATCAAAATTTGGATCCTTGGCAACTGGCATGACCACGTACTTAAGACGGTTGCAGGGTCCTGAGGTCATGTGATCATCTTTTGCGACTGTCTGACAAGCAGTCAATGGGGAAGCCAGATTCATTTAACAATCATGTTACTGACTTAACAACTGCAGTGAATCACTTAAACAACTGTGGCAAGGAAGGTCGTAAATGGGTAAAACTCACTTAACAACTGTCTTGCTTAGCAATAGAAATTTTGGAACCGATTGTGGTCATAGGTTGAGGACTCCTTGTAGTTCTAGATAAGAAAATACCTTAATTTTTTGTCCTACTTGATAGTTTTAAGGAATAACAGGAATAACTCAGCACAATCCATTCTCCGGGTTACTAAAATACATCAAAACTAAGGAAACAAGTTGCCTGAACGGTCCAATTTAATTCCAAGCTGATTATGTTTCTTATCTTTGGGACAAGGCCCTCTGCCAGCTAAGATTTTTCTGTTTCTGTTATAAAATTGAAATTACATTAATCTCTATAAAAGGGTGAGCAGTTATTTAAACTAGCCCTTATTGAAAGACCCAAATGCTTCTTACCTTAAAGTATATAGGATTTTCCCATCATTCCATATTCTTAGGAGCTGATTGGGTGTGGTAATCCAGTGAGCTTCTGCAGTTTTAGAATTCCTAAAAATAGTATCTGGGATCCAAATTAACCCAACCATATTGCTGTTGAGAGTGATACTTTTTTTCATGGTGCTGTTGAAACGAAGGCGGCTGTCAGTCCATGTCTGAGCAAAAAAAATATCAATTTGGTATTCCTGCAAAGGAGATTAGATACATATATTAGAATAAATTTAGAAGAGCAAGATCATCTATTTATCATCTATTTATTAAAACCTTCACATTTCTCTTTCTTTTTTAAACTCATACTCAAAAATCAAGAAGCAAGTCATGTGTTGCATTAAGCATTTGAATTGGGCTAGTCACTGTCTTACTTCCAAATAATAGATGAGATTTTCAACTATGATAATAGGTTGCATGGCAGTCCTTCCTAAATTTCTGATTAAAGGCAAGACTGATTCTGATCCATTCATCTGCATCTCATCATATGTTTTTAATGTTGAATGAGGCATTACTAAGCCATTAACTAGCTAAAAAGGTCAAGAATCTCCCACATTGGGATTTGGTGATTGTTTTGATTGATTGATTTTATTAAACTTGTATGCATTGGGCATTTGGTGATTGTCAGTGACACATCCAAGTAACTTTCCCAAATGTATTTTTCCCAATCAAATACAGGTAGTCCTTGACTGGTTGGCACTGGAAAAAATGACTTATGACCATTTTTCACATGATCATTGCAGCATCCTCATAATCATGTGATCTAAATTCAGATGTTTGACAACTGACTCATATTTTTGCTGGTTGAAGTGTCCCAGGGTCATGGGATCACCTTTTGAGAGTTTCTGACAAGCAAAACCAATTGGGAAGCCAAATTCACTTAACAACTGCAGTGATTCACTTAACAACCGTGGTAAGAAAAGTCATAAAATGGGGTAAAATTCACTTAACAAATTTCTCACTTAGCAGCATACATTTTGGGCTCAATTATGGTTGTAAGTTGAGGACTATCTGTACTAACCAAGGAGAGCCTACTTAGCTTTCAAAATCAGCTAGGTTTTGTAATTGTTGTCACTGACCAAAGGAAGTTCAATTAATTATGCCCACAGCAATCATTCAATGTATCTATATTGAATTATCTATAGCTCTGTCTACAAACAGAGGGTGGAAAGAAGGAAAGAAAAAAAGAAAGAACAAAAGAATAAAAGAAAGAAAGAATGAATGAAAGAAAACTGGAACTTACTCAGAGGGCAATGAAAATTGTGAAGTAATTGGTAACCTATCAGGAGATGCCTAATAAATGATGTCTGTGTATTTCTGTTCCAGTTTCTTATCTTTACATAGCTCCTGATAAAACCTGACTAAAGCAGAATAGGGTACTACCATGGCGTTAGGCATTGTGTTAGTGCAGCTGCATTATAACAACATTTGCCTTCATTAATCCTTGTGGCTGGTTTTATTGACAAAACCCATCTCTATTAGCATAACGACAACTAATATCAATTCTCTTAAGAAAAGAAACCTCACATTTCAAAATTCTGATAATATTGACAAACATCTTAGGAGATTTATTAAAACACAGCATATCTACCAGTCTATCTAACTTCTAAACATTTAGCTTGCTCTTCACTGGTTTAGAACTGTTAATGTATTTCAGTACTGCTCTTCATCTTGATAAGATGTAGCTAATATCAGAACCATTCACCTTTATTTTGTTTTCCTTATGCTATTTTTTTTACCCCAAAACTAAAACTAAGTAATAAATCAGAAACACTTCAAGATTCAGCAGTAAAAACCAATGCATTATGACATTTATTGGAGTCCTGAGGTTATTTAAAAAAAAATTACTGACATTTACTGACAATATGATAAAGCAGAATGATTTTAAATAAGAAATTAAATTATGATTGAAATAATTTTAATATACTGTATATCTTTAGGTACTTTAAGCATCCTGAAAGCAAAAGTAATCAGCTTCAAGTTAAGTTAAATGAGTCATCTGCTGGTTCAGAGTTCCCTATCAGCAGTTTGCTGATGATACCCAATTGTAAATAATGTAATCTTGACCCCAGGCCACCAAGTGATGTTATTGATGCCCGATGCCAACATCTGAGGGCCTTGCCAGTCTCAGGCTAATAAGACCAAGGCTCAATTGATAATCGAGCCCACTTATCTGGGGAAATTTTACTTGTAGTATTGGATAACGTAGAACTTCCCTAATTAAGATTGGTCCTCAATCCAAGGGAGTTTTTTTTTACTCACCACTCTTGTTTGAAGAGCAGGTGGCAGCTGCGGCCATGACAGCTTTTGTACAAATTTATGTAGCATGCCAGATACACTCATTATTGGATTGGGAGGTCTTCCAGATGGTCTTTCACACTCTAGCTACTTCACAAATGAATGATTGCAATGCATTGAAGGTCGGGCTGCCATTGTAGACCACTCACAAACTACAACTGATCCAGAATACAACAGTGAGAGCAGTAATGGGCACACCATTGTATGTCCATGTGATACCACTCTAAACAAGTTGCATTGGTTACCTGTTGGCTTTCAAGTACAGTTCAAGGTTACAACATATAAACCTCTTCCTGGCATGGGACCAGGTTATCTATGAAACTGTCTTTCTTTGGTTGTTTCTGCCTTTTCAGTAAAATTGGGTAGAATGAATATGCTTCATAGTTTTTTTTGTTAAACAATGTCATCTAGAGGGACCTAAGAAGCTACAAACCTTCTCTGTTGCAGTACCTACACTCTGAAACAACTTCTCCGAGAAATCTGTATATGTCCTAAAAAGCCCTCCGGTTAAGATGGGGCTTAAGCTCTTATAGTATTTTTTCTTTCTTATGGGCTATCCATTTCTAGGTGGCTATGATCTTTGCTAATCAATGCTATATTTGCTTTTAAATTTGTTAGCCATGGACTTTGATAGTTGAACAGTCTGTAATTGGAAAATTAAATTAAAATTAAACAAGGAAGTTAAAGAGACTAACTCATCCATATGTTAGTTATAAAATGAGCAGTTATTGCTCTATTTTGCTTTTAGAACTGTTTTCTTTAGTACAGTTTACTAGTCTAGTTGATACATTTTAATTTTTCTCGGTTGGATTGAGATTTTTGTTTTTGTTTTTGGTGCATACTTCTGCAGCCCTAAAAATTAGAAGTGAGCAATTTTATACATCATATACAGTATTATTTCAAATTATTATTCTAATGAGTCTAGTTTGGCCACACTATATATTTTAATTTACACCTTTAAACATTTGAGAAAGTGCTTTAAATAAAATGTGTGCAAATTAATTCAGATTATATCCATATTGGAGAATCAAGATTCAAGGAGAACTTGATTCAGCTCAACTCTGTGATTTGAGATTCTATGCCACTCTTATTTGATTGAATGTGTTTCAAGTTTGATTGAAGGAAAGATTTGTCAATAGACAATAATGAGAAAACTTCAAAATGCCAGGAACATGAGAATGAAACAGCAGGGATGATAAACCTTTTAGAGAACTTTGTCTGAAGAATTTTACCACAATGTAATTTTGAAATATTTCCTCAATACTTCTTTTAGGAGAAAGAGCATTCAGATGAAGAAAGGACAGCGTGATGGTTTTCAAATTATCCAGTAGAATCTTTAGAGGTTGACTGAATCAATGCAGTAATATTCAATTAGCTCTTAAGAATACAAATGTTCAAGGATCCTATTAACACCTTACATTAGCTTTTCTAAGATGCACAAACTTCCACTTTGCTGGTTGTAATCACTGGGTTTTCAGGGTTGTCAGGAAAGCTTACTGGAAAGCTGGCAAAGATTCCTTCTACTGGGCAGAACTCAAAAGAATAAAACTCATCAATCCTTTTTTTGCCCCTGAACTTTAGATTTTGTTTGGTGCCAGAAGGATTGGCAATGCTAGTTCATTCCAAAAAAGGACTCTCTTATTATTAATTGAGACATGAAAGTGGACCTTTAATCGTGCTGTCTTACCCACCCCACTTAGACATAGGGAAGTAAAAGCTGGAATGGTGCCTAAGGTAAGAACATGAGTCCATGTATTCTTTGACAAGGAATGTAATTTTATGTCAGTCATTCATGGCAGCTTTGATTTCATATTCAAAATATTAAGAGTTTTGCTCCCAGTTAGCACAACTGGGTTTTTTTCTTAATATGGCCAACTAATGATATTCAATGTGTTGGCCACATTAAGAAAAGCAAAGTTAAAATGTAACATAGTTGGCCACATTAAATAATTTGAAAAAAATGAGTGTAATATTAGCTTTGCCACCCCCAAAAAATTCTGATCTATGGAGTGTTTAATGAGGTGAATTTATGTGTCTGTTTTAATTAGTGAATTTACTGAAACTTCATTGACCCCCATTATCCATTCAAGTTTTGCACTCTCCTATTTTAAATGTCAACCTTCAAAATTATTTAACTGATCATATTTTTAAATCTGTGATATATGCATAGAGGTACTGACATAATAATAAGTTAATTTAATTGCTAAGAGTATCACCAAGGATTCCATAGTACACTTCACAGTGATTTTACTTTATATGTATTTTAAAGAGTTATAGAAAGTGGAAAAACATATTTTTAGATGACAGAAACTGATAAGATTTGGTTGCTGCAAGAAAAAGATAAGATTCCATCTCTGTTTTCTATTAATAGAATTACTTTCCATAGTGGAAACAGGAGGGAGAAATCTGTCAGCAACTTTTCCTAAAATCTGTTGTAGATCTTTCGGATGAAACATATGGATTAGATTTGTGAGATGTTGAGAGATGAAGAGTAAGAATGTTTCATAGAATTATTCTTAGAGTAGGAGTTCTGGGAATGGCATTGGATTCTGTGTAAAGTTGTTGTTGTGACAACATGGACATTTAGAATTCTTGTATTTTGCCATACCAAAACCTCCTTTCTCTATGCTTACCTACTTTTTCTGTGAACATAACTATAAAAGCTGGAAGCTCTTATTTATTGCTATCTAACCTTTTCTAGGCTCTAAATGCTACATAGAGAGCATGCTCTCCATTTATTAAGACACAACTACTTTCTGGGAGGTGGGACTAAAACAATCATTTGAGATAGGTGGTTGTCGTAGAGGTGATAACTATGACAATTGGCCTGTTAGGATATCCCTTTGTAGGAACATAGTAGGGACCTAAGCCAAGACTTTGAAATAGATGAAAAAGAATA